TTCTGTTTAAAATAGCGGAACACCACCAGAGGGTTAACAACTGTCAAATCATTTTCAGGATGTCATAAAAAAGAAAAAGAAAATAATACCTCTTCCAGCTCCAGCCTCTTTTTTTTATATTGAACAAACAGCCAAACAACAGAAAAATAAGAATATTATTGAACCGACCCAAAAGACAACACACAAAAAAACGTATTCTGTCAAACGTGTGAATATTCTAAGTGTGTGTTTTGTGTTTTAACAATCAGTAACAGGGCTAACAGACCAGGAAGAGAGAAATATATTCCGGATATAGATATAATGTTGAGTTTTCATCCAAACCATCATTTTGGTTAAGATTGAAATCATTCAAATGTAAAATCAGCATCACAGCATAACTCAAATTCAGTGAACAATTTACATCGGGTTTTTTTTTTGGTTGAAATTTCAACAGTGTCTCAACATTTACTGAGGATGCAAAAAATGATACTAAACCAGCATCACTTTGTAATTGAATGCAATTAACGTACACACAGCAACACTGGCTTGCTATCTGGGATGGATTTAGTAGAGAGATTATGGTCTAAATATTAATGAGCTGCAGGCCGAGGATCAAGTCAACTGCAGTATCAGCAAACAACTGAGGACATGCAGCCTGCCCAGAGGAAAACGGCACGGCTCAAAAAAACTCTATAGAATTCATATACAGAAATCTAAAATATGAGCACAGTTAGAGGACACCTTATTTCTGAATGTGTATGTGTAACTGCACTCAAATATCTCTTACTTTTCTTCTCTCCCTCTCCTCCAAATCATAGAAGAAACACTGCGCATACTAGAAGAGAGCGAAAATGTTGAATTAGAAAAGAGTTGTTACATAATATGTGAGTTTGAGTACACAACAAAGTAGATTGTTTGGTAATGACATGTATTAATACTTTGGTTTTGGATCCACTGGATTGAATATAATCAGTCTTTAGTTAATTGTAAGCACCTCTCGATTAAATTGCTGTAGTTCTGCCTTCAGTCCTTTCTGATCGTCCTCTCTGATACACTCGATAATCCTCTCTATATTCATCGCTGCACAAAAACACATACATAAACAATAAATCATTTGCCAAAAACATGTAAGGTGGGGCTCAGAAATCTGACACCATTAAAAATCTGTGATTTTAAGAAAATGAACAGCTTTATGGAAAAATCCAAATCAAAGAAATGTTTAACGTAAACAAAATGAATAAAAATATTTTCTAATTCACTAATCAAAAGTAATAAATTATTGCTCAGTGTAATCAATCCATTATTAAAGCAAAAAAGGTACGAACTAAAAACAACAACAAACCAAAACATTCTGATATATTAATATTTGAAATGTATAAACATGATTCATATAATAGATGTAATCATTTATAATATACATAATAAATGTAAATTCGAAATAATTTATAACTAAACTATTTACTATACACTGTAAAAAAAAATTCCGTAAAATTTACGGTAAAAAAACGGCAGCTGTGGTTACTGGAATTTTACCGTAAAAAAACCGGGAGCAACGTTTTAGGTTTTACAGTTTTAACTTAAATTTACAGTAAAATACCGCAATTTCATTAACTGATATAATGTTAATATACCAACCTACTGAAGTACTGAAATCTGTTTTGTACCTTTGTAATACACTGACAGGCACCAAATGCAGGAGGTGATGAGAAAGTCACATGATGAACCAAAGCCCATCACAAGCAGCTTTTAAATAATAACATATATAGAAGGTGCACAGTGTCATTCACACAAACACCAAACACCATCACGGTAACACACATGAAACTGAAATAATGCAATAAACATTCATTTAACAACATTAGGTGTAACACACAACCCTAATATACAAAACTGATAAGATAAAACTAAGAAGAAACAGTTATTTCAACAAAAAAACATCAAATTTGAAATGTAACTCAGGGAATTCTGGGAATGTCAGTTTACGGTTATTCACTGTAAATTATACAGTCTTTTTCACTTCCAAAAACGGTATACTACCGTACAATTAATGTCCAATACATGTAATGTCCAATACAGTTTTTCATCGTATATAGTAGGGGAATTTACCATTAACCATTTAACAGGATTTTACTGTAGCATTTTTACAGTCTTTTACCGTTAAATTCACTGTCATTTTTTACAGTGTATAAAATAAAATGTTATTTATAAAATTAAATTCTGAAATGCAATATTTTCAAGTACATTTTTGATTCAAAATAAATGTAATAAATGTATAATTTGTCATTGACAAAAACATTTTTTTTATAAATGTAATATTGCAATATAATAAATTATTTATAGATATAATTAATTATATTAATTGCAATATTACATTTATAAAATGAAATATATATGTTTATTTAAACATACTTTTACATATTTATATACATTTATGAAAAAATATTTAGATTAATAATTGAAATGGCAAAATAGAATCCTTGTCAAGACATTAATATGAAATTTCCATATCAAAAACACAAATATAAGCGGGCATATAAGTCAATTCCAGATTTGCAACCAGAATTCCAGACCAAAACATTTGTCTCCTTTATATGTGTGTTCGTTCATCCTCTTACCTGTGAGCGTGTCTTCACCTGAGTGTGCCATGCAGGATGCAGTGCGCTGGAGCCTTTCA